AAACTATTTCTCCAGGCTAAATGATGATCCTCTAAATTTGTGACACGCCATTTCCTCTCCAGATTACGAGTCATCTGCTTTAGGGTACGTGTTTGAGAATTATACCACGGGGTCAGGTACACAGCTGCAGAGATTCAGTTTCCTGTCCAGAGCTGGTTCAGTTCTGCAGATACTTCAGAGCAGAACCGGCAGCAGGAGGCAGTGATCTGTGACGATGCTGTGTTTCCATGACGACACCTGTCTGTGTGGTTGTTCGGTTGCTGTGTCAATAAAGTTTTCTGTGTTTTCAGCTTGGAGGGTCGCTTCGAGGACGAGGAGCTGCAGCAGATCCTCGATGACATCCAGACCAAGAGAAGCTTCCAGTACTGAGACCTCAGCCCCCACACACACACAGCCCCGCCCCCCTACAGCCCCGCCCCCGGACTAATGTGGTCAATCTGCTGTCCTGATAAAACTTTTTCTTACTCGTTGTTTTCACGTGTTTCTTGCACATGCTCAGTTCAGCTTGATTGCAGGGTTGTGTGCAGCGTCTGAACTGTTGCTGATGATGTTTTTGTTGTTGTTTTGGGGTTTTTTTAAATAAAGGTTTGATTGAACCAGTTGCTCAGTCATGTGACTTTTTCATTTGTACCATAAAATTACAAGTAAAAAACCATCTGGCACCATAACACACACACACACACACGCACACACTGCAGAAAACAGATGATTTCAGCAGCATTTAAACCACAACCAATCACAGAGCAGCACTCAGAACAGGAGAAATATGCGCAGGTTTATAAGCTCCTCCCAACAACAGGAAGAGCACGTGGAAGCAGTTCCTCAGAGCGCTTCACACCGAAAACGCCGCAGAGCCAGCCAGCATCAGACATTCAGGCAGTACACCGCTGCAGCGTCCGAGTCCTCCAGAGCTTCAGGAAGGACGCCGCCTGGTGTGCTCGCCATCCTCACCGTGTTCCTACCAAACAGGCTCCTCTCCAAGTCTATCAGCTGCCTCCAGAAACCAGCGTTGGGTCGAATAAATGGTCGCTGCTCCAGAACAAGTTCGTGAGCTCGACGGAGGCTGAGACCCTGAGACCTGAAGCACAGAGACCAGAACCACATCACACACCAGAACCACATCACACACCAGAACCACATCACAGACCAGAACCACGTCAGAGACCAGAACCACATCACAGACCAGAACCACGTCAGAGACCAGAACCACATCACAGACCAGAACCTGACTGTCACAGTGAGATAAAGCACTGTGGCTACCTCATGAGGTAGGCCATGACCAGCGCAGAGGACCGGCTTCTGCCGGCGCTGCAGTGGACCAGAGTCGCCCCCGTTTGGTTCTGGTTGATCCGTTCAGTTACCAGGTCAAAGTACTCTCTGAGGGGGGCATGAGGCTGGTCCTGGACGGGGACGTGGAGCACCTGCAGACCATCCAGTTGCGGGTAGGAAATGTCCTCGAGCCCACTGGCGTTGACGATGAGAGTGACATTTCTGCTGGTCAACACGCTGGTGTTCAGAGCCGAGTCCAGATCAGTGAGGAAGAGGCCGGCAGAGACCCGAGAGACCCGCATGA